CATTTCAAATATTTTTTTTTTTTTTCATTTTAGTTCCTGCGATAACTATACTTACACTTATTTAAAATCCGTCATTTTTTTTTATTTCAAATCAGAGGTAAAGATCAATCAACCCCCGCCAGTCAGGTCCATTTTTTTTGGAGAGGCGAACTTCAGCGCCATTTTTTTTATTTAAAAAAAAATTTTTTTTGTCTTAATTTTCATTATTGTGTAGTTGATAAGCAATAGAATAAGTGTAAAAAAATTTGAAAGGATTAGTTATAATAGGAAAAGTTCTATAATTTTTTATATTTCGAATAAAATTGTATTTTCCCTGAAAAATTCCCCAAAAAGATGATTATACCAAAAAATTAACTTAAATCGTGTAGAGGCACGTGTTGTTTTGAATTAAAAAAAAAAAAAAAAATTTTTAGTTTTTTTTCATTAATAAGAAGCTTTTTAGGGGGCGCCGCAAAAAATTTAATTTTTAACGACCAGCCTAATATATATGTATGTATGCGTATGTGACCCTTTTATAACTTTTGGACGGTTTGACCGATTTCATCGCGGTTGGCGCAATTTGAAAGGGCTTGACCAAACTTATATTTTGATCATAATTTGGACCGATTCGAACCGGTAGATTTTGAGAATTCTCAATAAAACTACAAACAATTTTTTTCAAATGTAGTTTTATTGGAATAACTTTAAACGGCTTCACCGATCGATTCCAAAAACTAATCAGCTCTTAACATCAAAAAACCACGTCGATCATTGCCAGTCCGGTCAAAATCGGTTGATTTGTTCGTGAGTTATCGTTGTCGAAAGAAAACCCAAAAAAGTGTTTTTTCGGAATTACTTAGGAATTTCTAATTTAATCAATTTAAACTCAAGAATTATTCATGAGGCTCAGGACAATGCGTTGAATGCCGCCAACCGCGTGAAAATAAGTTTATTCATTTAAAAGTTATGCCGGTTTGAAAATTCAAAAAATAGTGTTTTATTAAACTTCTAATAAACTAGTAAGCTTAGAACAGCTAACTCTTTGAACTCGGAGAGCTCAAAATAACTCAAAAATTATTTTTTTGAGCTCGAAGAGCTCAAAAACGTAATAAGTACAATTTTGAGCGCTTAATTATGGAATTAGCAGGAAGTTGCAGGGATGGCCTTTATGATCAACCGTTTTTTTAATTTTTTTCTCAAATCTCACTCTAATTTTCTCATATTATGTTTTATCACATAAATAATTGGAAATCTGTCATCTAGATTATTGTCTCCTTCAATTCAATCCGCATTCTTACCTTAACTTTTCTCATTCTCTTTCCGGAAAAAAAAATTTCATATATATTGATTTATTTATTTATAAATCATATATTATTATTTTTAAAATTATGTATAATCATATGAGGAGCTGATTTTCAAAAGGGTATCTTTTCATATTTTAAAAGTGCAGTTTTTTGAACTTTTATATATTAATTACTTTGAGAATTATAAATATTTCTAAACAAAAATGGAATTGTAGCTTCATAACCGATAGGACTTCATAGTTAAATTAAAAAAGTTCAATAAAAATATTTATAATTGAAGATAACCAGTTTTTTGTCTCGATTAATCAAAAATAAAAAGATACCCTTTTGAAAATAAACTCCTCATATATAGTTATACGTAATGTATATGATTATATATAAAAATTTTTTCTCGGGTATGCAGCAAAATTGAAGAGACCGTATGTATTTTTTTTTGTTACAATAAGTTTTCGATCTACGGAAATAAGAAAAAAAGGAATATTGTGCTTTAATTTAGAAAGCAAGAAAGTAAAAATTTCACTCCTTAACATTTCACGTTAGGAACTTGTAATCTATTAAGTTGGTTTGGCGTTTTTCACTTTACCAGTACTTCAATTGTATTTTATTTTTGTATTATATTTCTATCAAGAGAAATGGTTGGATCTTTGTTAAATTGAGAAAATTACACTACTAATTTAAGTTCTTGGGTATTTAATCGTAGCAAAAGAATCGCATTTTTAAAAATTTTATAAAATAATTAGTAACAAACTGAAGAAAAGTTTTAAAAAAAGTTAAAAAAAATACCCGACAGTGCGTGTGAATGAGACTGGTATCTGGCAAGGGGATCTCAAAGAACGTCGCGTGTTCAGATATAAACAGACGAATGGTTTTACTGCTTACTGACCAGTCAAGTTTTTTTCTTTTTCTTACAATAAGTCTATTTTAAAAATTAGTAACTTTAAAAGTAGTAAATGCGACTTTTTTAAGCTGATCTAGTCAAAATTATACATTTCATTTCGAAAAGCTTATTTATATCGAATTTAGTTTTCTATAGAATCATAAAGAAAAACTTTTTTGTTTTATTCATAATTTCATCGAATTAAGTTATAGATTTTTAAAAACACGAAGTAAACAGACTTTGAGCGTGCTTATAGAGCTGATTCGGTTATATAAACAAATATTGTATTTAAACTTATTTTTAAATTTTGATATAGCTTAGAGATAAAACACCTACAAAGAGTTCTGTTTAATTCATCAGAAGACAAATTTATGTTAATAGGAACGTTTTAACAATAGAGCTTAGAAATCATAGTATTCTCATTTTTTTCAATTTTTATTTTCTAATATTATAAAAACTGTCATTGCAAAATTATTCATGCTGCCACGCATATTAATATTCAAAATGTTAAAACTTATGTTAAAAGCTGATTAGTTTTTGGAATCGATCAGTAGAGCCGTTTAAAAGTTATTCTAAAAAATTCACATTTGAAAAAAATTTTTTTCTATACCACGAGGAAATCGGGTAGCCTTCTGCGAGATGGATGAGGCTAGCCCGATCAAGATCCTTAACAAGGCCCGTATAGTGATTGGATGGGTTAACTGTCGCATACGCCCAGTTGCGAAAGTAATCCGATGCTTTAAATGCCTTGGTTTTAGACACCAAACAAGAAACTGTACGGGACCGGACAGAAGCAAATGCTGTTATAAATCTGGCGGAGAAAGCCACAAATCTGCAGACTGCACGGAGAAGCCAAAATGCTTCCTCTGTACACCGGACAAGGAAGCTCAAGATGGCTTATGTCACATTTCTGGCTTCGGGGCTTGTAAGGCATTCCGCACCGCACTTGCCGAAGCTACGAGAGGCAAGAAATGACGCGCATACTACAAGGAAACCTGAATAGATGTGAATTGGCGCAGAACTTACTTCGCCAGCGAGTCTTTGAAGAGAAGATCGACGTTTGCTTCATCTGTGAACAATATCTGAACATCGAAGGTAAAACATGGTTTGCTGATAAGTCTGGCACATCAGCGATCTGAATAGTAAACTCAAAGATCACCGTCAACAACAACGGAAGCGGAGCAGGCTTCGTGTGGATAAAGACCCCTACGACCTACTTGATGAGCGTCTATCTTTCACCTAACGAAGGGATTAATGTGTTCCGCCAGAAGCTGGCAGACATAGAGGACACCATCAGCAAGCTTGACAGTGAAGTCATCGTAACTGGTGATTTCAACGCCATAGCGGTAGAATGGGGTGCTGACTTCTCTGATACCAGAGGCAACGAAGTAGCAGACTTCGCAGCAAGGCTTGGCCTCATAGTACTGAACATTGGAACCACCACAATCTTTAGAAGACCGAGGTACAAAGAATTCATCCTTGACACCTCGCTGGCAACTCCAAGGATAGCCAACATGATTGAGGACTGGACTGTATCCGAAGAATACAGTGGTAGTGATCACCAGTATGTGACATTCTGCGTTGGATTGGCACCTGTTTCGGCTCCACATCGAGTCCTCCAACAGCGGAAATGGAACGCCAGGAAGCTAAATCCAGATGAACTACGAATGTCACTTACACGGAGCTCGTCTACCCTTCAGAATAATTCGACTCCGGATACCTGCAGGGAGACGGAAGAGGCAGTGTTAAATGCAATGAAGAAGATTGCTGCCGCATGTGGTGCCTCTATGCCGTGGCTGAAAAACCGGAGTTTCCACAGGCTGGCGTACTGGTGGTTAAGAGACATAGCAGAACTTCGCAAAAAATGTTATGAGCTACGTCGCCGTGCCACGAGAACTGCGAAACGCTCTCCGAACCAAAACTTGTATTCGAAAGAGTATAAGCAGGCCAAAAAGACGCTAAACCGAGCCATCAAAGCAAGTAAAGCGAAGTTGTGGAAAGAGATCTGCAACGATCTCGATAATGACATCTGCACGGAAAAAAATTAACTGTTGCTGCAACAGAAGGCAGTCATGTTGCAGCAACAGGAAAAAATCCTGTTGCAGCTGCAGGATTTTCCTGCAGCTGCAACATGACTGCCTCCTGTTGCAGCAACAGGAAAAATTCATGTTACAGCAACAGGATTTTCCTGTAGCTGCAACAGGAGGCAGCCATGTTGCAGCAACAGGATAAAGTCCTGTTACAGCAACAGGATTACTACTAGTAGTAATTTTAACTTTTTTTTTTTTAACGCATGACAAGTATTCGAAAAAACAAAACAAAATTGATATTCTTATCACATGATTTCTGATTTTTATTGGAAATTTATATCTGTTTGAGTTATTTGACGTTAAATACTGTTATGGAAGTGAAGAAACGGACAAAATATATCATGCGTTAAAAAAAATAAGAAACTATATCATGTGTTAAGCCTGACCTTAAGATTACTTAAAAAAAAAAAAAAAAAAGTTAAAATTATTTTATTATTTAATATTTCGACGTCGTGCATTTAATTTTTTAATGCTAAAAATTACAATACTATGTATCTGCATAACTTTACCTTATTTAAAAGTTGCAAAAAACAAGAAAAAATTTTTTTTTGAAATTCAAAAATTCATATTTAAAAAAAACACACAGTTCTAAAAATTTCAGGGTCTTTTAAGATCATTACAAGGTACTATACAAAATGAATTGAGTCAAGATTTTAATGTCAATCGAGATTTTTGACGATTTTCAAAAATTTAAAATTTGACAAATTTGGCATTTTTCAAAATTTTTTTCCAAAATATCTTTTTTTTTCAATAACCCCAAGAGATATTCCAAAAACAAAATTAAAAAACTGAAAAAATAGCGAGATTTTGGATTTGCATATCTTTTGAATAAAATTTTTTAATTTTTTTTCGTCTGGCAGAAGTTCGTTATATGATAAAAGAAAATTTCTGATCAAAATTTGTCCAAATCAAAAGGGGTCAATTCCAACTGTAGGTCAATTTGTCATGGAATGACCCAACTATATTTTACTATTAAGTCGCAATAACAGTAGTAATCCTGTTGCTGTAACAGGACTTTATCCTGTTGCTGCAACATGGCTGTCTCCTGTTGCAGCTACAGGAAAATCCTGTTGCTGTAACATGAATTTTTCCTGTTGCTGCAACAGGAGGCAGTCATGTTGCAGCTGCAGGAAAATCCTGTTGCTGCAACAGGATTTTTTCCTGTTGCTGCAACATGACTGCCTCCTGTTGCAGCAACAGTTAATTTTTTTCCGTGTGGGGTAAAGCCTACCAAATTGTCGCCAAACGACTTGGAAAGGCTTCACCAGAGGCGCCAAAGTCTCCTGCCTTAATGGACAGCATTGTAGCGGAGCTTTTCCCCAAACACCCGCCGCGGGAGAAGAAACACTACGCTAAAAACAGCGAAGTAACACCTTTCACAACTAAAGAACTACAAGACATGGCCAAGTCACTCAAAACAATAAAGGCACCTGGACCTGATGGCATCCCGGCATCGGTGATCAAGATTGTAGCCCTGGAATACCCAGACATACTCCTGAACACCTACAACGCATGCTTGGCAACTGGCACGTTTCCCGCGGTCTGGAAGCGGCAGAGATTGGTTCTCTTAGACAAAGGTAAGGGAACCCCGTAACACCTTCGTCGTTTAGACCACTCTGTGTGCTAGCCATTGCTGGAAAACTGCTTGAGAAGCTCAAACAAGGGAGACTTCGCAACGACATTGACCGCGCTGGAAGTTTTGCCACCAACCAGCATGGCTTCCGGAAAGGTCGTTCGACAGTCGGAGTGATCGAGAAAGTCATAAAGACAGCAACACAAACATGTTCTGGTAGCCTCAAAGCTCGTAAAGTATGTCTTCTCCTCACGCTAGATGTCAAAAACGCATTTAACAGCGCAAATGAGGGAGACACTTTAGACGCTCTGGAGCACAAGTTTGACGCGGAGCCAGAGAATCTGGCACTAGTCGACAACTACCTTGACGATAGAAAGCAAATTTTTGTCAATCAAGACAAAAAACGATCTTTATTGGGCTGTAACTCGGTGTCCATGGGGTTGACCGATCGACCATGGGTCTGGAAATCTTTTATAAAGTCTCATCTTCAGTTTTTCGAAGTTCCTTTCTTTAATCTCCCGTGATCCCCAAGAAATGAATTTTTTAAATGTTAAATTTGTGACAAATAAGTCAAAAAATGCCTCTTATAGGGCTGTAACTCGGTGTCCATGGGGTTGATCAATTGATTGTGGGCTTGAATATCTTCTGTAGGGTCCATTCTACGATTTCCATGATTTTAAGTTCTTAATCTCAAGTGGACAGCGAGGATTAAATTTTTAAATGTCAAATTTGTGACAAATAAGTCAAAAAACGCCTCTTATGGAGCTGTTACTCGGTGTCACTGGAGTGAATCGATCGATTATGGGTCTGGAAATCTTTTATAGAATCTCATCTACAATTCTAAGATGTTTTTTTTTTAATTTCCAGTGGACACCGAGAAATGAATTTTAGAATGTCAAATTTTAGTCAATCAAAACAAAAAACGCTCTTTATGGGGCTGCTACTCGGTATCCATGGGGTGCATCGATCGATTATGGGTCTGGAAATCTTCTATAGAGTCTCCTTTACAATTTTTTGAAGTTTCTTTCTTTAATCTCCGATGGACACCAAGAAATGAATTTTGAAATGTCAAATTTTTGTCAAATAAGTTAAAAAACGCCTTTTATGGGGCTGTAACTCGGTGTCCATGGGGTTGCTTAATTGATTGTGGGGTTGAAAATCTCCTGTAGGGTCCACTCTACGATTTCCATGAGAGTCCTTTCTTAATCTCGACTCGACACCAAATATTGAATTTTTAAATATCAAATTTTTGTCAAATAAGTCAAAAAACGCATTTTATGGGGCTGTTACTCGGTGTCCATGGGGTTGATCGACCGATTATTGGCCTGGAAATATTCTGTATAGTCCACTCTACGATTTCCATGAGTTTCTTAATCTCAAGTGGACACTGAGATTTAAATTTTTAAATGTCAAATTTGTGACAAATAAGTCAAAAAACGCCTCTTATAGGGCTGTTACTCGGAGTCCATGGGGTGGATCGATCGATTATGGGTCTGAAAACCTTTATTAGAGTCTTATCTACAATTTTAAAAAGTTTCTCTCTATAATTTCCAGTGGACACTAAGAAATCAATTTTAAAATGTCAAATTTTTGTCAAGTAAGACAAAAAACGCTCTTTATGGGGCTGTTACTCGGTGTCCATGGTATCGATCGATCGATTATGAGTCTGGAAATCTTTCATAGAGTCTCCTCTACAGTTTTTAGAAGTTTCATTCCTTAATTTCGAGTGGACACTGAGATATGAATTTTTTAAAGTCAAATTTTCATCAAATACTTCAAAAAACGCCCTTTATGAGGCTGTTACTCGGTGCCCATGGGGTTCATATTACATCGATGTAAAACAAATAGCTTTGAAATTTTGAAAATTGAATCAGTTCAGGCGGATGGATTTCAGGATTCTACGACTCCAGTTGGTTATTTTCTCATGCGAAGGAACTTCTGTACACTAGATGGAGGCATATCACCCATAACTATGTATTTAAGAAAACGTTAACGTCAACTAAGTTCGTAATAACAGTCTATTTTTATAGATGAACGTGAACATGCATGTATTTACCGAAAAGAATTTGTATTTATATAAATAGATGTTTTCTTAGCAATAAAATATTAAATAAAAAACAATCATGTCCTGTGACACACGTTTATCTATTATATTTATTAATGATAAAGTTAAAAAGATATTTCAATATAATTAAATTTTATTTGTAATACTTAATACAAAAGTTAATGTTTTGATAAATAAAATAAAAACAAAAATTGGATTAAAAAAATTCAGTAATATGGAAGTGCCTCGAACTCCTATAGATAATTTATTGAATGTATTATCCAATTTTAGTGTTGGTCACGAAAAAGCTTTGAAGCAGAGTATTTACAATGCAGTAGCGTTGTTCCTTCTATGCTTAGTTTGCTTTGCTGGGTATGGACTTTACATGATTTTTCAACCATTTGTAAAACCATTAATATGGGCTTTACTTTGTGGTTCGGTTCTTTTTCCATTCAAATTATATATTACAAGTTCTGTAAAGTCTTGGTTTGCTGAAACAGAAAATTTTTATGAGATATTACTCATAAATTTCACAATGGTTCCTATAAAAATTATGGACACCATTTCTGAGTGTATTGGTTCTTTCCTCTATGGACATATTAAATATGTAAAACTTATCATAATTTCATCTAGTTTTGCTATTATAATATATTGGTACACTCCCAACGTTATGACATGTCTTATATGGCGCTTTGTTGAATTGAGTAATTCACTTTTATATTTAATTGTCACCAACTGTAATATCTATCTGGTATAATTTATAATTATTACTAATTACAACAATATTAAAATAGATTATTAATTAAATTAATTTTTTTGCAGATCAGTACGAGTATTATAAGTTATCTAATAATATTGTTTTTCCACTGGAGTCAAGACAATGCTACTTCATTTAATCACGCATCTCTTGTGATTTGGCTTATATTTAGCTTTTACGTATCGAATATATTAGGAACTTATCAAAGCATAATATTTTGTATTTTACAAATTTTATTTATTATTGGTTTTATCTATGAGGTTGTACTTATTGTAGATAATAAGGAAGTTCAAGGTACATCTTTGACTTTCACTGAAGCTCTACAGTTGGCTTTAACTGGTAAAGAAATTTATAAATCTTCTGTACAAACTGATGAAAAACACCATCAAGAAAAAACTTTCATCGATGGTACGTCAACTCCTATCGTGGCTGAAGATATAAAAGTATCACCTTCTGTACATAGTAAAAAAAAGCATTCATTACAATTTTTGAAAAGTTCAATGTCATTAGATACGGATCGCAAAGAGGATATTTTGTTGAAATTTAGATCAGATGATAAATCTAATTTTTCAACCGGCCAAACACCTATTCATGAACGTTATTTTTTGCGGAAATTTAGCAAACATATAATAAAACATGAAAATCATAAGGCCGATACAAATAAATATATGTATGGAGCATTTTATTTATGTGTAGGAATGGTAATGTGGAAACATAAATGGATATTAACTATACTGACTATTCCAATAGCTTGGTATGTTAGTAAAAAAATAGGAAAGTATTTTGAATTTTGGAGCTTTACTCATCGCCATATAAATAAGATGATTGAATCATCTAAAATGTGGTATTATGAAAGGCAAAGTGCTTTGATTCCAGCCCATGTGAGAGGTTTATATAAAATTTATATGATAATTGATAAAAAAATGAAGGAGATATTGAAACGATCTGTAGATGCAGTTGCAACAATTGCTGTGATTTTTTTTTTGTTGATATTTTCTGTTTGTGCTTCTATATTTATAATCATACAAGTAAGATAAATTTTTATACATTTTATAATATGTGTCACAATTAATTGCAATTGAATTTAATTTTTGCTAATAAGATTTATGCGGAGGGCATACATTTGATTCAAGTAACAGGAGAAATAATTAATTCGACGTTAGTTCATAATCCTGATATTGACTGGGTACCAGAACAGTGGGAAGACTCTGTTAACAGTGTTTTAGATAATGCTTATACATACGGTAGAAGTGCTATTGCCCATGCCGTTAAAAATGTTGCCAAAGATGTAGAACCAGTTAAAGCTGAATTAATGGAGAGAAAAGTTTTAGAATTGTGGGATCGCCTTTATCAAGCTTGGATGATGTCACACGATAATTCAGATACAATTGGCCCATCAGTAGATATTGATGCTGCTTTTTCAGTGTGGGAAAGTTTGAAAGAAAGTTTCATAAAATCACCAAGCCGTAAGTTCATTTAATGACAAAGTTTTATTAAATAATCAATCAGTATCATATAATTCCTAACTCAACTTTTTTTTTTTTTTGTAGAAATGTTTAATATTAGTAGTATCCAAAATTTTGCTAAAGATAATGTCGGTATTTTAATGTCTGTTCTTGATTCTGTGTGGAGCATTATTAGAGGAAATTTATCAATAGTTTTAAGTATTTTAACAGAACTACTTTCCGTTGTTTTCATCAGTGGATCTGCTGTTTTAAGTTTTAGTTTAAGCACTGTAAATATAATTCTATTCAATAGCATAAGCCTGCTTGAAATTAAAGTTAAATTAATAATTGTTTTTATAGGTTGTATTTTTTACCACATTATTCTATCTGCTTAGTTCAAGTGGATACACTTATAAACCTATTGAGTTCATTGCAGTTTTTAGTCCCATTAGCTTCTATCGGTGAGTATTTTAATATACCCTCTTCTATTTTCATATAATGATATGTTGGTAGTAGTTAGTTTTCTTTTTCACCAGTTGAAAGCATAAAAATGCTAGATCATTTACGACAATTTTTCAGCAACATTCACTGCTATGATAAGAAATTTTCTCATTTTTCGCGCTAATGTTTTACGGAATACTGTAAATTATCGAAGATACACGAATGACTCCAAAAAATTCCGAACTCGAGATCTTTTGTATTTATGGCTTGCTTTACTTCCGCGATAATCGAAGTGCTGATATTTTTTGAGAAGCATTAAGAAAATATTTATCTTATAATTTATTTTGAAAGTAAAATTTTAATTCGTTAAACTCACGTTATGAGCATTTTACTCACGGTTATCTTAAAATGCGGTTATCTTTAAAAGCTTGTAAAAAATATTTACTTCATGTTCTTCAGAAAAATGCGACCATTTTGCTTATTAGGAATATTTCCATTAAAAAAAAACATTATTATTAGCGCTTTTAAAAGAGCGTGCCCGGGAAAAAATGAATTTGCCTAATCATATATATTTATATATGATTATATATTGAATATATAGAATTATGTATGATTATATCTAAATTTTTATATAAAATATATATAATCATATATAGACTATTATATTGTATGTATATTTTATATAAGTCTATATATAATCAGATCTGAGTTATCTAGGTCTATATATGATTATATATATAATCTATATATAATTAGATCTGATTAGACCTGAGTTATCTAGGGCTATATATGATTATATATAAATCTATATATAATTAGATCTGATTAGACCTGAGTTATCTAGGGCTATATATGATTATATATAAATCTATATATAATTAGATCTGATTAGACCTGAGTTATCTAGGGCTATATATGATTATATATAAATCTATATATAATTAGATCTGATTAGACCTGAGTTATCTAGGGCTATATATGATTATATATAAATCTATATATAATTAGATCTGATTAGACCTGAGTTATCTAGGGCTATATATGATTATATATAAATCTATATATAATTAGATCTGATTAGACCTGAGTTATCTAGGGCTATATATGATTATATATAAATCTATATATAATTAGATCTGATTAGACCTGAGTTATCTAGGGCTATATATGATTATATATAAATCTATATATAATTAGATCTGATTAGACCTGAGTTATCTAGGGCTATATATGATTATATATAAATCTATATATGATTATATCTGATCAGATCTAATTGATATAGGACCATGTATATAATTAAACGTAAAGCTATGTACATAATTATATCTAATCAAATGTAAATTATAAATTTACATTCATTAATATATAATAATATATAATTAGATGCAGCATTTTTTAATGATTATAAAAAATTTTTTTTTAAATGTTTGTTTTTCGTTATACCACTCTGAAAAAAAAATAGAAAAGAGTCGGTGTCAAAAGTGGTCGATTTGGCATGGAATGCCCCATATATAATCATATATAGCCTAATATATTATATGTATATTTTATATAAGTCTATATATAATCAGATCTGAGTTATCTAGGTCTATATATGATGATGTATAATCTATATATAATTAGATCTGATTTGACCTGAGTTATCTAGGGCTGTATATGATTATATATAAATCTATATATGATTATATCTGATCAGATCTAATTTATATAGGACCATGTATATAATTAAACGTAAAGCTATGTATACATAATTATATGTAATCAAATGTAAATTATAAATTTACATTCATTAATATATAATAATATATTATTAGATGCAGCATTTTTTGATGATTATATTTAATAAATATTTTGTTGAGTTAATTTGTTCCACTTGCAATGTCATATGATATGAAGATTGCTTATAAACAAAAATCATCTTTATAAATTATTTTCATTAATTATATTACATGATAATAACGTTTATTGTAACATACCGAATTCTATCATAGCTCATAATTATCTTTTGAATTTTTCAATATTAAAAACGTTAATTTATTTAGTGATTTGAATTATTATCATGTGTTACAGTTATGTATTCTAGCTGTCGGGTTATAAAAAATGTCAAAAGAAAATTGCTATTTTTGCTTTTGATTTTAAATAAATATTTGTTAACTGCTAACAAATATTTAGTAACATTCAATAAATCGTATTTAATGAATAATTTATTAACTGGTAATAAATGTATATTAAATCCCATGATGTTAAAAAATCACTTATTATCAGTTAATAAAGCTCAATAAATATAAACAAATCCTTCTATCAATATCAGTGTAACTATACGGAAATCATATATAATTATATATGAATCATTTATAACTATATATAAATCATATATTATTTTATATAAATCATATATAATTATGTATGAATCATATTTAATTATATATGAGGAAAATGCTGACAAAGAAAATGCGGTTATTTATGAATCTCGATAGATCCGAAGTTCAACACATGTAATTGTATTTTTTTTTTTTGTATAAAAATGAACTAAGAATAATTGTTGCAGAAATCAGCTTTATTCTAGATTGTAGAGATGTTGTAGATTTATAGAATTAAATATATCTCTATGTGAATCTTGATAACAAAATTATAAAAGATCGAACATTATCTGTACTTTAAAACCTGTAAAAGTATTTCATGATATTCTGTACATAATTGAAGAATGAAAGATAGTAAACTAATATTAAGCTATAATTTTAGATCGTTAGATGAACGGTGGTATAAATTGTTTTTCCGTGGATCCCAAAGAATCATCCTCAGGAAGACCATAAACCATCAGATTAGAACGCTTGCATAGTCTGTCATCGAATTCTTTCAATAGATCATGAGACGCCCCTGACATTGACGAGGCCCCAGAAATTGTTGACTCGATACTGTCAATTTTTTGTTTGAGTTCGAAGAGCTCAAAAGCATACAAAAGCTATTTTTTTGAGCTCGGAGAGCTCAAAATAATACACAAATTGTATTTATGAGCTCGAAGAGCTCTAAAACGTCATAAGTGCAATTTCAAACGTTTAGGTATAGAATTGGCGGGAAGTTGCAGGGATGGCCTTCAGGGTCAACCGTATCCCTAATTTTTTTTTATAATTACCACTTGTATTTTTCATCAACTTCGATTTATTTGTTTTATTTTTTTATAAATTTTCTGTTTATAATTTATTTTAAAGATTGCCCGAGAAAAAATGATCAGATATGAGCAGGCATGAGTTTTCAGGTCTGATCATATATGAAAAATGACCGGGCCTGACCAGACCTGGCCAGGCATGAACAGATCCGATCAGATCTGTTCATGTCTGATCAGGTCATTGTATGTCGCAATTTACAATTACTTCTCGTTAAATATTTGATTATATTCATAAATTATACTTTCTATGGTCACAACTAATCCTCTATATCCAATTAAAATGAAAAAAAAATCACTACAGATAATTTTATCGATATAACACGAACGGTCACTCATCCAAGTACTGACCCCGATCAATGCTGCTGAACTTTCGAGATCCCGGTGTGCCTTGAAGTTCCTGTCTGCCATGCTTATGGTTTATACGACATGGCAATTTTGTATAGTACATAACGTATCAAGTCAGTTTATTATAAATATAATATACAAAATTGATTTTATAATTTATTTTAATACTCTTCATCTGTTAATTTTTTCCGAATTTCATTGTAACATCACATTTATTTAAATATTAATAAAATTATAAGACAGTAACAGAGCAGACCAGAAAATTCCATAGAATTGTAATTGATTTTGTTTTTTTATAATTACTCAACATCATATTACTCATCAATTTTGCATTTTCTATAATTAAAAAAAAAATTCTTTTCTGGCGGAACATTGAAAAAAACTGCTGTTATTATTCTCCAGACTAGATCAAACATGAACAGACATGGTCATGCATGATCAAGCTAAATCTCATAGTATTTAATGGGTTCCATGCGTTTTCATCCCCGGACAAAATATCCCCGGTCAAAATATCCCCGTGACATAATATCCCCGACAAAATATCCCAAAAAAAATATCCCCGATAACGTATGAATTATCCGCAAAAAAGATAGAGGATTTGATTTGAAAAAATAAAAAACAAGTTAAGGTAGTACTACCGGTTTTAGATTTGACGTTCAGAATTTAATGAAATTTGGCATATTGGTACTTTATAATATCATAATTAAGCAGTAAAATTTTTGGAAGCTGAGCAAGTCCTGAAAAAAAGATATTAATATCTACATATTTTTGCTTTTACCATTGATCCTTATGGAGAATCACAGACTTTATTTTATTTCACAAAACTGGACGTTCAGATTCTTATAAAAATCAACACAACGAGAGGAAATAACATCTAGAACATATTTAGTAACAATCTGTATGGTTTCCAAGAATATGAGAATATTTATTAATAAAAAACATTCAAAATTTATCTCTGTCTCTCTTTCTCCAACGTAATTTAGTATAGGGAAATCTACTACGTTAATCAAATAAGGTTAGGTTTTAGGATTTGACACTTGTGGTAACGGTAGTACTACCTTAATAATTTATAATTAAAAATTATTTTAATCAGTCTTTGATTTTAAAAATAGTTATCACTGACTTTTATTATTATTTTCAATTTTTTTATTATTATCATTATTATCTAATAATTGTTAAGTAATTATAGTAATAAATGTAATTAGGTAAGTAAAAAGTAATAAACAACAATGATTTGCATTTTGGAGCGCGTATTTATCAGGAAAATTATAAATATTTTTATTATTTAAAAAAATAAAAAAAAATTTTCCGAAAAATTTCATTTAAATTTTCAAACAAGATATAATCATGGTTTTTGTGTGTGTTTACTCAGTAATAGGCCAACACAAACGCGGGTAATCGTGTTGCGCCCTTTTAACATGGTTTTTGTGTGTGTTTATTCGATATTACCCGGGTAAAAAAATGTATATATAATTAGGTATAATTATATATGATTATATACGAAAAATGGCCCGGCATAATTACATATAATCATGTATAATTATATCCAATTATATATAATTATATGCGATTATATATAATTATATGAATTTTTTTTTTTCAAAAATGGATAAAATTTTTTTTTTTTAATTATATTGAAACCAATGCGATTCGGAGTATGATGTAGTAATCAGAAACTATCTTATTTGATGAAAAATTCCGAGCGTCCGCTGGGTTCGAACTCGACTCCTCCTAGTTATCAGTCCTGCACGCTGCTCACTGGTCTAAATCACATACTGTACACGACAAATCTATTGAATTTATTTA